GCAAGAAGAAAGACATGAAAAAGAAGTCGGGAAGCACAACGTCGGGGTCTACAAAGTCGACCAGTACCATGTCCACGGGGACTCAGACAGACGAGTACCCGTCAGACGACCATGCAGCGGAGGAGTGTGACGAACCCGAAGAAAACAACAAATACAACTGTCCTGACACAGGTACAATTTAAATTTTTCATAAGTGTAGTTATTTATATTAATATTTTACGTCGAATTTGTGCTGATTATCTATTTCCTTCACAGATATCCCTGGAACCAGCAGCACCCATTCTGATTACGGACACATGGAACTGCTTCCTGTCTTCATTCGACCGCTTGTCATTGCCATCCACGACCCGGTGCCAGACGATCATTGTGGGTTTCGTGCACTTAGTTTTGCACTATATGGTAATCAAGAAGGGTTCCCAGAGGTGAGGCGAAGACTTGCTGAAGAAATGCGTGAGCACGATTGGCGATACGCACCCATCTTTGGTGCAGATATCAATGACGCAATCAGACGCATTGACATCTCTACTACAGCACCAACGACTGAACATCATTGGATGATGGGTGTGGATCTATTCGTATTTGCCACACTATTTAATTTGGCTGTTGTTATGTACAGCTGTGTCCTCTACCCAAAACCACAAAAGTACAACAGTACTATTCTGCCAGTGGACAACATATATGGGGAAACCCACCCTAGAGGAGTCATTGTTCTGCATTTCGTCCAGAATCATTGGATCAACCTCTCCTTCCCGGCGGACAAGATACCGTTGCCCCCTCTACATGCCATTTGGCCAGGCGGTCACCAAGAAAGCGTGGATGGATGGGAGAACTATTTCGCGCCGTTTAGTCAAATGTGGTTCGATCTTGGGGGTGGTGCGAATAACTTTCCATCACGCAAAAAAAGGGTTCCAAAGAAATAAATTTGTACTCGTCCGACTCATAAATAAATTGTAATGAACGTCTTCAATTTAAATAAATTGTATTGCATTTAGTTTACGTCACATGGAAGCATGATATAATAAAAACATCCGAAGTACAACATAAACCACATAAGTCATAATCAGATAACACTCATACATATGACATAATAACATAAGTCATAGTCCCAAAACAACAAATAAGCAAATGAACACCACATAACATAAGTCGTAGTAGAACACATAAGTCAACTCGTCTAAAAACAACAAATAACACTCATACATATGACATAATAATCATACAACTACTGTGGAGGTGGTAGAAAACTCGACTTCCTCCTAAACTCGGGCCACATGTTCCCAACTCCATGACATAAGTCGTAGTACTCGTTGGCGCTAGTCATCCACTCCTCCCTACTACCCTGTGCAGCATCCATCACGGGAGATATCTCAATCCACATCTCGCGTGACAACTGTAAACAAAAACCATACAATTTAAATACATGTTAGTTAGAATCAAAACATTTTTTTTAACTTAATACAAATAATTTCAAATATGATTGTACTAACCGTATCAGCATCCGAGATGTCGTCGGCAGGTCGGCTGTCACCCAGTATAAGTGGGTGCGAGTGCCTAATGTACCAACCCATGTAATCATCAGCAACCTCCCATGGCCTACGTCGTATCGGAGTAGAATAATAGTCCAGCTGCACACTATGCGCCCCCAAGTTGTTCCAACTTCCATCAAGGTACGACTGGTAGCTAAGCGAGTATCCAAGCGTGGAAGCAGGTCGACGCACAACAAGCGGAGGCTCCGGGCGATACGGTACACACTGCATGTAGCCAAACTGTCGGAGGCACCTAGTAGGATCATAATATTCTACTATCTCTGCAAATCTGAGGACACCCTGATACGTGGTACGTCTCGCTGTCAGATGAGGACGCTGACCATACGGAGTCCAACAAACTGACTGAGGGGTCAAACTATCAATCGCCTGCCGATAATAAGCCAGCATCTGTGCATCCCTCTTCTTACTCGACCGGGGTGCTGTACCGCGCCACCTGAATGCCCCTGCCTGACCCCGCTCCAGCTCTCGTGGCTCCAACCGACTAGGTCTCAAAGTAGGAAAGTGGTCGTAAATCCAACACTGTAGTAAAGTCAGACAACCCGCCACTCCCTTAGCCTCCGCCCGGGAGGCAATACCAAGCTGCCTGTACAGATAAGCAAGTGCTCCTGCCCCCCACGCGTACTCTCCTAGCATATCCGGCCTCTTCACAAACAAGTTGACAACAGCAGAAACGCGGTCCTTACTCTTATCTACGAACAGTGTGGACCCAAGCAGCAAAAGAAGGTAACACTGAGCCTCTCTAGCTGGCGGACCAGACTGCTGCAAATGAGTCAAAGCTCCCACACCCAACAAACCAAATCCTCTGTACCACCTAGACAGACTAGCAACCTCGCCAACCTGCGCCCCGTACTCATCCTCGTCACGATCTAATCCCAGTAGTGCTCGGATGTCAGTCTCCAGTGCACACTTCTCCAACTGCCTCGGATCCACTACCATCGCCTCTCCATCAACCGCAAGCCCAAGAATGTGTGCCACGTCGTGAAGGAGGATCGTCATCTCTCCAAACGGCATGTGGAAGGTGTTGGTATCCGGCTGCCACCTCTCCACAAATGCCGAGATGAGAGCAGGATCCAACTCGCTCTGGAAGGTGATATCAACGAGGTGAGCAAGGCCCGATGTCTCTACGGTAGTCCTAGCGTTATCATCTGCTATCTCATAGCCGCCGAGAACGTGGTGGAGGGTCGTACTCCTGTCGTAGCAAGTGATCACCCCTCTATCAGCCTCTCCCGTGTACAGACGGTGGGCAACATGCCCAAGAAAGCTACGGAGCAAACTCGGGTCGCTCGGCCCTCCAGGACACGGTCCTCTGGGCTCCCAGGCCTCTCTCACATCAGCAGTACCACTCTGGCCCTCACCAGGCTGTGGAGCTCTATAGAAACGCCCCGCATGGTCTCTATAGATCCCGGTAACAGCATGAACCCCAGTAACGACATGTGACGATCCGCTGGGGGCACCTCTGTCTCTGATCGGACTGACTCGTGGAATCCGATACTCAACAGCATCCGACTCATACTCCTCCGACTCGTCGTCAATCTCATCTGAAGGCTCGACATGTGAAGTATGATGATCAATACTGGGACCAGCTCCACTACCAGCCATACTAGGCAACTGAAAATCAAACTGCGGGAAACCGTCTGCCCTAAATCTCATCGGTGTCGGCTGTGGCTGTGGCTGTGGCTCATCTCTATCATTTGGGCCCCTATTTCTCGCACTAGCGCTAATGTTACGCCCAAGGAATCTTCTCAATCTCTTTCCAGCTCCTCCGGAACTACGTGATCCTCCAGAATTGTCAGGTGATGCCATCTCTAAACATAGTCAATAATTTTCTATTAATATCTTATAATAATTATTTGTTGAGCAATTACTTGTTGTTTCATAGAGTAATTATGATACATACAATTTGGTTATCTAATTAATTTAACTAGATAGTTATTTTATTTAATACGATAGGTATTTATTTAAATATTTATTTCAACTTACTCAATTACTTAACTAAAACATCATAGATAATTATTTAAAATTAACCATTATTTACAATAATTATTTAATCCAATAATTATTTAGATATTTTATCTATTAGCATATTCAATAATTATCAATTAATCTGTTGTAATAAATTATTAGATTAGCAATTTCTTCATAGTCATAATTTATCAATTACTAATTATGATACATACAACTTGGTTATCTAATTAATTTAACTAGATATTTACTTTACTAAATACGATAGATAGTTATTAAATTAATTATTTCAACTTACCCAATTAATAAACTAACACATTATATAATTAATTAACAATTATATACTAATTACTAACACATTATATAATTAATTAACAATTATATACTAATTATTTCAACTTACCCAATTAATAAACTAACACATTATATAATTAATTAACAATTATATACTAATTAATCAACTATCAATATTAAACTAATTAATATAATAACAATTGTATTTAAAATAAATGTAATAATTTTTTTTTAAACCGAACCATTCAAATAGAATCAGAAACCCAATCAGACCGGGCGGGCGGGGTCCGACCAGACCGGGCGGACGGGGTCCGACCAGACCGGGCGGACCGCGTCCGCTCCGGCCAGGCGGACCGCGTCCGCTCCGGCGTGTCGGACGGCGTCCGCTCCGTCTGGTCGGACGGCGGCGAGACTGAATGAAAAAAAAAAATTTACCTCGACGGCGACGACTGGAACAGCGGCGGTCGCGGCTTCTCTTGGGCGGCGACTGCTTCTCCTGGGCGGTGGCGGCCGAGATCGGCAGAGGGAATGGTGGGCGGCGGCGTCTCTCCTGGCGGCGTCGGCGACTTCGGCAGAGGAGGTCCTGGCGGCGTCGGCGAGCAGAGGAGTCCTTGCGGCGGCGGCGGCGAGCGGAGGAAGAGGTGGCGCCGGCGGTGTCGTGCGGCGAGCGGCAGGAGGAGGTCGGCTGTGGCAGGGGTGGGAAGGAGCTGAAGGCAGCAGAAGGGGGTGGGATTTGGCTAGTTAGGTTTAGGTTTTTTAAAATGAGGGAGTGGCAAAATCGTTATGTTTTTTATAAGTACGGGCGGCAAATAGTAAAACGACGGGCGGCAAATTGCGATTCATTATAAAAGATGGCCATAGAGTAACACACAAAGTGGCTCCTAGCCTCCTAGTCACTCGTGTCATAACAAAACAAAAAACAAAAAAAGAAGTTGAGTGGCAAATTTGCTAGAACACTGGAAAGTATAGTGATCATTGCAATGCAATTCAACCCGTTTCTTGACCATAATTAATTTATTTTCTCACAGCAGACTCGCATGGGAGTCGCGTGGGACCACGTATTGGGGCATCCCTTTACTCGTCTGCCTCTGCCAGCGGAGGTTTTCCTCAAACTCGGCGTGCTTGTTGCTTCGCAGTTCACACTTCACGCCCCTGAGAGCGGCTATAAATACACACGCATAACACCGCCACCATTTCCGCGTCGTTTCAGTGACACAGATCCATAAATCAGACCACCCCAAATTCCACCCGCCGCCCCCCCAAAAAATGGCTTCCACCACGGCGGCGATGATGTCAGCTCTCCTCCTCCTCTTCCTCGCCACTGCAACCACCGTCACGGAAGCACAGGGCGGCGGCAGCAACGCGCCCTCGTGCGCCTCGAAGCTGATCCCCTGCGCAAGCTACATCAGCAACACCTCCGTGACCCCGCCGGCGAGCTGCTGCGATCCGATCAAGGAAGCCGTGCGGACGGAGCTGCCTTGCCTCTGCAACCTCTACAACACTCCCGGCCTCCTCGCTTCCTTCGGGATCAATGTCACCCAGGCCGTAGCTCTCACCACGCGCTGTGGCATCAGCGCCGATACCAGCTCTTGCAGCAGAGGTAATTGAAAAGGTTTCAATTGATCACAGCTTTTCATTTTGTTTACTGGAATCGTGAATTTATTGTCGATTGGCTTCGTCTTCACTGTTGGTTTTTCCTGGATCAACATCCTTTTTGATTCGAATGTGCTTTTCGATTCCAGTTACGCCCGGTGGAGCAGGTTCCCCTGCAGCCAGCGCCGTTCCACCGCCACCGCCAGGTGACTTTTCTTTTCTTTCTTTCTTTCTTTCCCCGTCGATGGGATCTCACTTTCTTATATAAAAAAAAAACTTTCTTCGAATCAGGTGCGTTTACTTTTTTTTTTCTTTTCTTTTCCTTTTGGTGTTGGGCCGCTCTCGACGACCCGTCTCTTGGTCTTGGTTAACTTTAAAGTTCAAGCCGTTGAATAATTAAGCAAGCAATTAATGAAGCTCTTCATCAAAAGTAACCAATTAATAACGCCCAAACAAGTTTTCTGTTACCTTTATGCCCTAGCACTGGATTCGATTTCGTTTCTTAATGTTACAAACTTGGGGTTTGATTTTGATAGGACCTTGTGCAAAAACAAGGAAATAGACATCAGATTGGAATCCAAATCGTCTCTCTGCATTTTCACACGGAACTTCTCTATTGGTAGGAAGCTTGAAGTAGAGTTGAATAGGATCCCCCACTTCAATGCATCATTGTCGTGTGCCTCCTTCTACATTTATTGCTTAGGCTTTAGGCTTTACTTGAAGGAACATGTGAGGGCTCCTCGTGCTCGTGGGCAAAATTCTCCATAATTGAGCGAAAGGCATGTCTGTCAGAACTTTTTTTTATTGTCCATTTTGGTCCTTGATTCTCACTGTTTTTGTCTTGAGGTGCAATTCAAGGTGATTTCCTATAATGTCACTCATCCTTGTTGTAACACGTTTAACATTAGAGTTTTCACAAAAACTCCTCCATTTCACTCTAAAATATGTCTAGTTAGTTATGTCATAAACTAGTTGGTCCCAATACCTCGAGTTGTTGGGAGAAGGTTATACTGGATCATATACCACTCTCTAACGCGCCCCCTCAAATTTCAAGCCAAACCATGGCCTTGAAAGACAACTGTTAATATTGGGGGTCGTGGAGATTCGAACACATGACCTTTCGGTTCTAGGCTCTAATACCATGTCAAGAACCTGTTGCTCCCAATAACTCGAGTTGTTGGGAGAAGGTTATGCTAGATCATATATCACTGTCTAACAAGTTAAGATCCGTTTATTTATGAACCATGGATTTCTCCCATATTTTATCGATGTGAGATTTGTCTAAATTGTCTATGTGTAGATAATAAAGCTTGCCTTTCTTCAGTTTTTTTTAAATAATAATCGTCTTCTTCTTCTTGTGCTGTGCTGGCACATTTCCCTCTTTCGGCGCCATAATTCCTGACTTCAATAATTTCTTGTGGTCAATGAATTCTGTCTATATCTGGTTGTCTAATTCCCAAGGTTTCGTTTAGGCACTGATCCGTGATTGGTGTAGGAGGAAGAATACAATTTGTTAGGAATCCCGTTTGGATCCTCATTCCTCACGGGCCCTTTTCCCCAATTGATAAGGTATTTTGGTCGGGGAAGAATTAATTAACTCGTCGTTACTGAGTACTGACCTGATCTCTAAAATATTTGTTTATTATATACAAATTATAAAGAGATCCCATATCTTTGATACGTCGGGGTGGGCATGTGGGTGGTTAATTCATAAATTGATATCGATCCACTCGCAAATAATCCGACCCGCAAGTAAGGGGTGATTAATGTGGGTGGATTGCGGATTGATAAATCTCTCACTTGCACTTATTTGGGTGGGTGGTGGGGGACCTGCATCTTATTTTCACATGAAAAATGTTGTTTGACTACTATTATTGGTAATTGTGTTGTGTAATATATATTGTATATTGGAATGCAAATTATTGTTAGTATCCATTAAATATTTGGATGAAAACTTTAAATTATTAATTTTATTATAGTAACAAAGTGCTTAATTTTCTCTACACAATTGGTTGATAAATGAGTAAAAAAAATTATGCAAATATTACATGAGTTCACTTGAGACAAAGTGAGAAGTGTTTAAATTGATACAGTCTTACTAATTTACTATGAACTTATTATAAATGTTACTCAACTTGCTCAATGACTAGTTGGAGAATTATTTTTACTAGTTAACCCACGACCCAAACTCACTCATCGGCCTCCCACCCGCAGAAGAATGTGGGTGGATTGCGGCGGTCACAATTATTCCAACTCACTAGTAACCGGGTGGGTCAATTTAAAACACAAATCTATCCAATTCGCACATTGCCCACCCTAGATTATATTAGTTACAAACATATTGTGTTTTGTGAGAATGTGCTCACAAAACGCCCGTGAACGTTCTACACGTAGTACAAAGAGGATGTATTCTAACTTGTTTGAACATTTGGTTGGAGTGGCAGGGTCAAGCTCCAACAGCGGGAGCAGGATGATGGCATGGACTGGAGCATGGAGCTTGGTCTTGATATGGGTTGCATCGTCCTCGTTTTAGAAACATTATTATTATTATTATTATTATTTTCTAGTGTCTGTGACATTTAATTTGTAGAGGCGATGGTGGGACTGGGAGGCCCAGAGGGGAGTGATGAGTGAGATTGTTTGTGGATTATGCTGAAGGAGGGAGAGTGAGTGATTATGTTGTTTTGTTTATCTTAAGGGTGTGTGGGTATTAGTGGCTAATATTTCGAGGATGTTGTTTGTTGTGCCTTAATAATTTTTTGATGATTCAGACTATTGTTGTTCCACTCTCCCGCGTCTTGCAATAATATTCCTCCTTCAGCTGATGCACATGATTGGGGTGTTAGCCTCACCCTACATATCATTGATCTCGTTGGACTCGACTTAATATTTGGGTGGGGTTAGTTTATCTATAGAGTCAATTTAACGTTGTGTCATCTTTTAATTCGGTAAGAGTCAGGTACAGTCGAGTTACTTTTTTGCCCCTATGAACAATATATAGTAACAACTAATGGTTTGAAATTGGGAGTGGATAGTATACCACCAACCTAGACCTTTTGTAAAGTTTTAATTAAGTACTATAATGCAAGGTGAAAGTATAAAATGGTACTCAAATATAATTTTACGACCCAAAATTCTGGACCCATTTGTAAGAAATAAGTTTTAGATACTAATTGTAAAAAATTGGGCAACAAAATGTAATTTCCAAAAATAAGTTTGTTGATTGATTTGAGTCATCCTGGTGGCTTGGCCCGCTCCCGCTCGAGCGGGTCAGACAGGGTCAAGGAGGAAACTTGCATTGGGAGGGAGGGTCAGTTTTATAAATTGCCATTGTGAGCCGGTCAAACCGGGTTCTTACAAGTCATAGAAGAGTTTGGACAAAGTTTCAACACTATCCAACTCATTAAAAACTTATTTATAAAATTACAATTTAGTATCTATATAATTTATATTCTACAATTTTGTATCTAATTATTTTTATATTTTCACATTGAATATAATTTAAAATTTTATTTCGCTATCTAAAATTTTGTAGAATGATATTTTAGTATGTAAACGTATAAAATTTTACAATATGGTCTAAAATTTAGACATCACTTTTTCCTACATATCTCAATCCAAAAATCTATTTAATCTAATTCATGAATCTATTCACTCGCCACTCTAAAATGCAAGCAATCCACAAGATTAGAGGGAAAAGAACAATAGGTTGTCAACGAGAAAGAAAACATGTTATTTGATTACAAGGGTGTTGACTACCTTGCGAGCCGTTGACATTTTGTGCCACTAGGTCTTCATATGTTCCCTTTATCTGATCCTATGTTAAGTAACTGGACTATGTACAAGATTAAGGGGCTCTCCGAACCCCGGATGATTTTGAATGATAGATAGGTTGCAGTTGCATCCATTTGATAAAAAAAGAAAATGGCTCATCCCCACTAAATTCCAATCTGAATTCTACCCATTTCCATAAACCCAATATTAACCCTTCTATGTTTTGCCTTTTAAATCCAATACATTCTAGTTATTTTCAAACAATACTTTTGAATTATTTTTCGATAATACTTTCAAATATAAATTATGTTTAGTTGTAAAATGATTCAGTTTATAGAAGTTACAATTCATAAGAAGGTTAACATAACATTATTTTCCAAAATTAGAAAGTAGTATTATATATGGTTAATGTCCAAATAATATGTTATATGCTGCTTGTAAAATGAATTTAGCTTTTGTGATTGACTTTATTATGATACAAAATAAGAAAATGAAACATATTAAATGCAACGATAAAATGGTAACATCATACAAATCTTTTATTGGGTGCACGATATGTGATATCCATACAAATAATTTATTCGGTGCACTGCCCGGAGTTGCCCAAGAGAATATGCACAGGATCAATCAATGGACATTCGTTTTTAAGCATGACCTAGTGCATGGAATGGAATCCTTTGCCCGAGAATTAGAACTGAAAGTTTCAGAAAAGTTCAAGGAACGCCTATGCTTTTTTCCCCAAGTAATGACAGGAGAAACATAGTTAAAACCTCTACCCAGCACCCACCCTAGCCACATCTAGTGAAGCCACCCTACAAAATCAAAGGAAGCTATCTCTACAGAGGACATCAACATGGCTTGTCTTGTCACTCTATGGGCAGCCTAGTTGACAGTCCGCGGGACAGACCTAAAAACTATACAAGAATTACAAGAGCGCAACAAGTGAAAACAATCACGCAACAAGGGACCACCCACCGAGTCTTCGATTCACCTACTATCAAGTTGTCGAATGACCACTTCAGAATCTCTTTCGACAATAACTCGTGGCAAGCTACGAGATAACACTAGAGAGATGACGTCCCTGGCGGCAAGAAGCTTTGCAAGTTAGGGGTTTGAAACTCCCGGATGAAGAAATCCCAAGGCCAATGAAACTTGTCTGTCTGTCCCTCGAGTGACAAGGCCAGACGAGCATCCCGAGTCACGAACATCAGCGTCGAAATTAACCTTCAGAAAACCTTCAGAAGGGCAAACCCAGACTGCGGTGAGGGAGGGAGTGATGCGGGAGGAGGAACCTGGGACTGCAGGGAGACTGAGGATAGCTCCAGACTTGGAAAAGGAATTGACGGGCAAGAGAACTGGCTAGTGGTTGAGTAAATTCAAATACCACTTTATTTCGAAATTTCCAGATTCTCCAAAAAAGGCAAACGCATGGGAGAATGTGGGTTTGAAATTTTACTGAAGCCATAACATGTCACCACCCGATACCAAAGTTTTCAGTAGGGGCGGAGGAAAGCAAATGACTTAATCCCACCAAAGAGCAAGCGGACAGTGGAAAAAGAGTTGTTCGATAGTCTCTTGACTGTCCCAACAGGCTGGGCAGCGCGTCAGACAGTTAATGCCACGAGATTGAAGAGCCACCATTGTTGGCAACACTACTTTCAAGCACTGCCACTTAAAAAACTTTAGCTTAGGTGAAATGTCCAAAGCCCAAGTTCTTTTCCATATAGGAGGGCCAATTATATGAACTACCGATTTACGACTTGCCATCAAAATATTTTCCAACGCCAGAGATGGTAGTCTGTTTTAACCGAGTAAGACCCATTTTTAGTGAAATGCCAGACTCTTTTATCTTGTTGTGGCAGAAGAGGAACCACCATTTTACAAATGAGATCAACCGATTTTTCCAAAAAATAGTATCTTGGAGTATCAGTGAAACCTTGAAGTCTCACTTCGGGAGAAGAGGGTTTCTCAGATAATATCCAATTATCCTTGAAAGCATCTATATATTTTCCATCCCCAACCTGCCAACGTAGTCCTCGAAGGAGGAGATCTCGTCCAAACAGAATGCTTCTCCACCCCCAAGAGGGGTTATAGCCGATAGTTGCGTTCAAGATTGAGCCTTGATTGAAATACCTTCCTTTGTACAATCGACTAAGTAGCGAGTCAGGGTTTAACCAGATGCGCCAACAAAGTTTGGCCAAAAGAGCTTGATTGAATGCCCTAAAATCCCTGAAACCTAGCCCACCATGAAACTTATTTTGGGTGAGACCTTTCCAAGAAACCCAATGAATTGGATGGTCAAAGTTGTGAGAAGATCCCCACTAGAACCTTGCTATGTGCCCGTTTAGTCGCCGACATGTGTCTACTGGGAACTTAAAGCAAGTCATACTATGAACTGGTATGTTAGTAGCCGAAGTCCTGATTAACATATACTTAGCGGCCTTTGATTAACATATACTTAGGGTTCGTTGTTTCCATCCCTACAATCTTTTACACAGCCTTTCCTCAATACATAGAAAAGTGTTTTTTTAGTTCTTGGAATTAAAGAAGGCAAACCAAGATAAGAGTCTTGCTCGCCTATAGATCCGACGCCTAACTGGGCTTCCAAAGATAAGGCAACTTCACTCTTAGTATTTCACTAAACAAAACAACGGATTTGGACAGATTGACTCGCTGGCCACTAATCCTTCATAAACCTGAAGTAACGATAACAGGGTCGTACAAGATGTCGGCGACGCTTCTAGGAATAAGAAGGAATTGTTGGCAAAGAAAAGATGAGAGATCATAGGACAGGACTGACGAATTCGGACTCCTTCCAAGAAACCTCTGGTTACTGCTTGGTTTATCATAGCCGAAAACCCTTCTGTGCAAATTGCAAATAGTAAGGATGAAAGAGGACCCCCCTGGCGAAGCCCTCTAGAGGGTTTGAAGTACTCCGAAGGGGAACCATTAACCAGTATGGAATAGGATACTGTAGTGACACATGCCACAAATTTGTTGGTAAAACCCAATTCTCTCATCATTTCAAACAAAAAAGGCCACTCAATACGATCATAGGCTTTCTCCATGTCTATTTTTAATGCCATTCATGATTTCCTTCCTAAGTACAGGGTTTTGAGACGATGAGTAATATCACGACTGATCATGATGTTATCTGTAATCTGGCGATTCTTAATGAACCCTTTTTGTGCTTGAGAAATGATTGAAGGAAGTACTTTACTCAATCTGTTGGCCAGAATCTTGGATATAATTTTATATACTACCTGGAACAAACTAATAGGCCGAAGGTTCTTCATAGTACAGACTTATGATACTTTAGGAACTAGGAATATCCAAGTCCGATTAAAGCTCCGCAGTAGATGACCAGAGTGAAAAAAGGCAAGAACCGCCTGAGTGACATCGTGTCCAACTGTAGACCAATAATGTTGATAGAAACCAGCTGTAAATCCGTCTGGTCCTAGAGCTTGGAATACACACGAACTGGATTTTGACAACTCTTTTATTTGAATAGAAGAACCATCGTCATCATCGTCAAGTCATGGAGAAGTCGATTGGAGACGGGAACTCCCAACGAAGAATGCAACTACCTTTTGACCGGAGAAGTCGATTGGAGACGGAGAGAACGATCAGAAAACCAAGAGAGCCGTTAGCGCGCGTTCACTCATCGCGGGAACTTACCTCATTTCTCACTTTGGTCTGATTTCTGCTGATCTCAGAGGACGACGACGGTGACTCGATACAGGACAAGAGCTGTGAGCTCTGGTTTGCAGCTTGCTAGGAAGGCCACCATGGACGGTAGTCGCCACCGCGGTTGGGCCGGCGATGTGGCTGCGCAAAATGCGAAAGAGGAGGTTGTGTTTAGTCCCCATCAAGGACGTGATGTCCATAAAACGACGACGACGGAGCTATTCAAGGCACAATAGCTTCTCATCAAGTTTTTAGCGGGAATTTCATAATTCCTTTTTGGAAACGACAGGAACCACTGGTCAGGTCATTTATTCAAGATAGCATATATTCACAGCTATGTCTCATGATCGACCTCACTTTTCAAGCTTATCGTCCAATTAGTCCCTTTCCGACGTTTTTCTATATCGTAAGTCCCGACTCTCCATCTCGTCACCGTCGACGGCAAGGTTGGATAACTTACGGCCACCGCAAAGGAGCAGTGAGCTTCACCGTCGGGAATATTCTACTTCGGTAGTCTGATATGATCGTCGTCTACCAATTAAAGCCTGGATTTATTCAATCATTAATGCTCGTGGTCGAGTATAAAGAGGAGAGAGATTCTCTAAAAACAGTCAGTATCGTTGATTAGTAAAAAGCCCATTTGATTATATTTAATGGGGATAATGGCATGTTATTAGTCCAATTAATGATTGATGTTTAAATAAATATAAAAAAATAAATAAATTAAACTGGCCTGTTGGCCTCGAGATAACTTCCACATATCCAAATAGCCTCACCATTAAGGCTGGGCCTGGTTTCCTCCTTTAGCATTAAAATTTTAACGTCTAATTTTTGGGCCGTTTTGACCTTATCTCAGGCGCAGAATTAGCCTTTTTGAACGGGCTTTAATGAGACTAGCGCATTCCATTTGCTGATGAGCCTAAAAATAACCCCCAGCCCTAAGCAACCATCGTTGCCATCTACATGCTTTCTTCTTCCTCTTCCTTCATGTGCTCTCTTTTCTACAAAACAAAGACTCTTCATATCCTTTTCTTATTTTTCCAATGGCTACTCTTGTGGAATTCACAGATGAGGTTCTAGAGACTGGGCTGAACAGAGCCAGACTACGTCTGATCGGTAGACTTCTCTATTCATCCCATCCATCCAGAATCCGAGCCCAACACTTGACCAATAATATCTGGGCCAAAAGAGCAGCTGTTACGGTTCTGGATGCCGGGTTCAGATTATTCTAATTCATCTTTGCCAATGAAACTAACTATGATGATGCACTTAGCAAGGCTCCTTGGTTCATCCAACAAAAAATCCTCACTTTTAAGAAGTGGGAGACTCCCTCGGAAGAGCTATTCAAGGAATTGGCTAGAGTACCATATTGGGTACAACTCTAGGACTTGCCAGAAGAATATCAAACAGTGGATCTCGTATCGATGCTAGCTTTGAGACTGGAAACAATGGAGGAGGCTGGGATGTATGCAGTTTGGGAGAGTCCGGGACGGATCTTCAAGGCCAAAGCTCCGATTGATGTATCGGCTCCACTCGAACACCGACTTGAGGCAATGAAGAGGAATCCAGATGGATCTGCTGACCCCTCCTTCTGGGTCACTCTCATATATGAGGGATTAAAGACGATATGCTTCCGATGCAGACGTATTGGTCATAATCAGCATAACTGCTCTTTTGGTTTGATCACAGGGGATGATGGATTCGGTCCGGGAATCATTGGGAATCAAACTGGTCCTAAAATAAATTAATTTTCTTATGCTTTGGTCCGCAATGGAGGCCTCAAAAGAGGAGAAAACGTGTGGAGGCAGTGATAGACCGTTAGTTACACATGTTTTCACCCCTGTTCTTACACCGTTGGAGATGTGGTTTCTCGTGTTTTAGACCGATTTCACGCTAGGTTGTGCTTGTTTGTGATATTTCAGGTCCTGGCAAGTGAATGAAGGTTTAGGAGCGAGTTCGGGGTCGATTGGGCGAAGATCGGGCGTGAGACAAGTCACAAAGGAGGTCACACGGGCTGCCTTGATGTTCACACGGCCGTGTGAAGGAGTAGTCTGGCCGTGCGAGTTTTGCCGAGAGCAAACACGGGCAGAGCAGGACATCCACACGGCCGTGCAAGAGGCCAGTCTGGCCGTGTGGAATTCTGCGTGAGCAAACACGGGCAAAAAGGAAGTTCACACGGTCGTGCCACTCTGGCCGTGCAAAGAGCCTGGAATTCGAACTAATTGGAACGCAGCGTTTTGACTCACACGGGCAACTGGGTAAGCCACACGGCCGTGCCACCCTGCCCGTGTGAGTCGGGATTTTCTGCTTAAAACCCGATTTTCAGCCAAAGGAGAAGAGGAGAGCTGGGTTTTTGGATCCCAAACACCCAATGGACGAACCAAAGAGAGAGAGGGCGATTTGAGGGCATTCTTGGAGTAGAGAAGGAGGATTTCTTCGCCTTGGAAGCTTGAGGAACAAGCCCGGACTTGAAGACTGATCATCTGAAGATTCTTACTGCAGTCTCTCTCTTCTCTATGGAGTAACTTCCCTTCACTTAGGTTTTGAGGAACCCTAGCTATGTTTGTTTGATTGGATGATTGTACGAGTACTCTGACTTGATAATCTTGAGTTCATATTCAATCTATGCATGTTTTCATGATTCAATTCTGCTTTAGTCGAGATTATTGATTCTGCTTTGATCCTATGAGAGGGAATACCTGATTAGGTCAATAGAGCACCATAGATTGATAGTAGTGGATCGATTGCTTTAGTCAAGTGTTGATTCACTGCTTTGTATCGATTGAGAACCTCTTTCGATAGAGGGAGTCTAGTTCAGAACGCCTTGATCAGTTGTTCTAGAGAAGGATACGTCCCTCTAGGCAATTGACTCAAGAGGGCCTTGTTCCTTTAGTCGAGACTCAAGGTCTAGTCAAGGATTCTCCGCATTGTGAATGAAAGTGAAACAGGTTAGAGATCATCAATCATTAATCTGGCTAGTGGCTAGGGGGAATCATACCTAAGTGAGTTCCCAACCTGTAATTAGATTAACTTTAACTGTAGTTTGCTAGAGTAGTTTTAGTTCTTTCATCTTAATCTGATTTGCTAAATAATAAACTGAAGCTGAGTAATAGTAACTCTAGAGACCCGTGGATTCGATATTTATCACTTGAGCCACTATACTGCAGTCCCTTTCATTGGTTACACCTTCCCACACCCCAAACTGAGCTTTGAAGAGGCGGGCATGAGTTCGGAGATGCAAGAAGATCTCATGAAAGAAATTGCTTGGCAACTTGCTCTCCAATCCGTGCTAGAAGAAGAAGAGCAAGAAAGGGTGCAGAAAGAAGTTGTGGAGGATGGCGAAAGTGAAGCTGGAGAAGTTCTTGATCATTTCCCAGGGGTGATACCACATGAAGAAGGAAGGGAGGTTAAAGAAGCAATTGGCGTCCAGGCTGAGGATGAAGTTGAGGTGGAAGAGGCCTGCACCGGCCATGAGTTACATGTGATATCTCCACCAAACTTCGAGGAACTGCTTAGCAAGGACCCATTTGCAGTGTCTCTTTGCCAGACCAAGGCCACATCGACATCGGTCCCTCTTGGTGGACGCGATGGTGGCCAATCGATGCTGTCTTATCTGGTTTGGGGCAATGAGACGAGAGAAGAGAAGAAGAGGTCTCGAGGGTGGAGACTTCATCTGCATCAAGTACATGAGCCTTCATCACCTGCCACACCACATGCTCGTGACTTGAGACTCCACCTCATCGACGAGAACCTCAACTTCAAGGAGGTTCTAGCATGGACCGAAACTTAGGAGCCATCGTCCGGCTCACGACGTGAAAGAAGCGCTTGTTGGGAGGCAACCCAACCAGTCGGTTTGCATTTCTTTCTCTATTTCTCCTCGGTTGAGTCAGTTTTGTTATTTGATTTTAGAGTCAATAACTCAACCTTTGTGAGATTTTGTGTGGTGTTTGTGTTCTGATTACTCTCTCTTTCTGGATGGCACCGCCTGACCCGTTCATCATCATTCACCCTTGATTTGGTAACTTCGTTCTACCCTCCTTATCTTTCCTCCATTGAGGACAATGTCGTGCTTAAGTGTGGGGGGATGTTCGATTATGTATGCGGGTGAATGTTTGGCTGTTTGTGTGCTTGGAGCCTAGTCCACTGTCCAAATTTTTAAATTTGAGGGCTCCAAGTACGTGTTCCTTGCAATTGCCTGCTCAGTATGCTTTGAATTGACAGTCTTTATAGTAATATGCAACCTAGGGAGGTAGTGTAGCACTATGGAGGATGTTGATGCATTTAAGAAGTCTCATTTCTTCTTCATATTGAGTTGGTTGATTGAGTGAATTAGTGATCTTAGGACCCTTGAATTGTGTGGTGTTGTGGATTCTCTACCTGTCATGGACTCTTGTATCATGTTTTGAAAATAACAGGTGCTCGAAAATGTGCTTCAAAATAAACGTCTCCCGTGCGAATAGGGCGAAAGTGTGTAAGGGGAGACGGGAATCCGTTCCCAATTTCCACCTACTACCTCCAGCCCCCTTACATGTCTTTCCCCCGCACGAGGCTCGAGACATCCGCTCCTGGCATGGCCGGTAAGAGCAGGTTGGGACCCTTGAAAAAGAAAAAAGAAAAGAAAAATAACAGAAAACAAGCATAATAGAAAGAAAAGGGGTTCCAACCATCCTTAAGCAGAAAATAGAGCACCTTGAAAAATGTGAGTCCATGATCTGTTGTTTTTGAGAATCTCCTCATCCACAATTCATTTGTCCTCTATTCACTATTTGCCATGATGCCGACTCGCCGAAGAAGTTATGAGATGACTTGTGCGTTGGTTGACCTCGTAAGTTGCTAAATGATCTAGGAAGTCCTCTACCTACGATCTGGGTTGTTTGTTGCTATAGAGGTCTGGAGAGTTGCATTGGTTTGAGTTAGGTTTGCTTGGGGACAAGCAAACGGTTAAGTGTGGGGGAGTTTGATAGACCGTTAGTTACACATGTTTTCACCCCTGTTCTTACACCGTTGGAGATGTGGTTTCTCGTGTTTTAGACCGATTTCACGCTAGGTTGTGCTTGTTTGTGATATTTCAGGTCCTGGCAAGTGAATGAAGGTTTAGGAGCGAGTTCGGGGTCGATTGGGCGAAGATTGGGCGTGAGACAAGTCACAAAGGAGGTCACACGGGCTGCCCTGATGTTCACACAGCCGTGTGAAGGAGTAGTCTGGCCGTGCGAGTTTCGCCGAGAGCAAACACGGGCAGAGCAGGACATCCACACGGCCGTGCAAGAGGCCAGTCTGGCCGTGTGGAATTCTGCGTGAGCAAACACGGGCAAAAAGGAAGTTCACACGGCCGTGCCACTCTGGCCGTGCAAAGAGCCTGGAATTCGAACTAATTGAAACGCAGCGTTTTGACTCACACGGGAAACTGGGTAAGCCACACGGCCGTGCCACCCTGCCCGTGTGAGTCGGGATTTTCTGCTTAAAACCCGATTTTCAGCCAAAGGAGAAGAGGAGTTTTTGGATCCCAAACACCCAAGGGACGAACCAAAGAGAGAGAGGGCGATTTGAGGGCATTCTTGGAGTAGAGAAGGAGGATTTCTTCGCCTTGGAAGCTTGAGGAACAAGCCCGGACTTGAAGACTGATCATCTGAAGATTCTTACTGCAGTCTCTCTCTTCTCTATGGAGTAACTTCCCTTCACTTAGGTTTTGAGGAACCCTAGCTATGTTTGTTTGATTGGATGATTGTATGAGTACTCTGACTTGATAATCTTGAGTTCATATTCAATCTATGCATGTTTTCATGATTCAATTCTGCTTTAGTCGAGATTATTGATTCTGCTTTGATCCTATGAGAGGGAATACCTGATTAGGTCAATAGAGCACCATAGATTGATAGTAGTGGATCGATTGCTTTAGTCAAGGGTTGATTCACTGCTTTGTATCGATTGAGAACCTCTTTCGATAGAGGGAGTCTAGTTCAGAACGCCTTGATCAGTTGTTCTAGAGAAGGATACGTCCCTCTAGGCAATTGACTCAAGAGGGCCTTGTTCCTTTAGTCGAGACTCAAGGTCTAGTCAAGGATTCTCCGCATTGTGAATGAAAGTGAAACAGGTTAGAGATCATCAATTATTAATCTGGCTAGTGGCTAGGGGGAATCATACCTAAGTGAGTTCCCAACCTGTAATTAGATTAACTTTAACTGTAGTTTGCTAGAGTAGTTTTAGTTCTTTCATCTTAATCTGATTTGCTAAATAATAAACTGAAGCTGAGTAATAGTAACTCTAGAGACCTGTGGATTCGATATTTATCACTTGAGCCACTATACTGCAGTCCCTTTCATTGGTTACACTTGGCCTTTGTTAGGTGTTGTGTTTTAGAGCAGTCAGGCAGCATGCTCAATCTGCCCCGCATCATATTGTTGCGCACCTGCTGCTGGAAGGCCCTCCTTCTCGACATAAAGGAGGCGAACTCCTCCTCTGAAGATAGCTCGAACGGTGATGGGTCGAGGAGAGCAAATGAGGGAAGGGAAAAGCAGCTCAGCCCAACCCAACTCCAATCCTCCAAGGTTCATCCAAAGTGCAAGCCCAAGATACCATGAGGGTAACAGTCGGGTCGGGCTTAAGAAAGCAACAGCTGGGCTCCTACCTGGGCTCAGTCAAAAAACATATGCAAATCATTAAGGGGATGGAAGTCTAATTGCCAGTGGGCCTGCTTTGGAGATCAGGGCCCAAATTTCAAAGGGAATAGACTTAAGCCCAATCATGAAACAACCTATGCAATTGCAAGTGCAAGATCCAACCCAATCCTATGGGCTTTGTAATTTATTTTGTGATGAAAATCCTATTTTTTTATTTGAATATTTGGATGAGTCTTACCCTTTTGAATTTCAAGGAGAAATGTGCTTGCAAAATCTTGAGGCCCACTTATTATGCTAAGATTTCGCAGTGTCATGTTCCCCTATTGGACTAGTCAATGACGGGAAGTCGAAAGGGAAGGCCATTATGGTGGAATCTCCGGGATCTCCTATTGTTTATACTCATAGAAATGCGAGTACATGTATCCAAGAACCAAAAGAAGGAGTGGTGGATTCGGATCCAAGGAATTTCTCAAAAGCAAGGGGTGGAGCTGGCCTACCCCAAGTGGCCCCAAACCGATAAATGAATATATTTGCGTGGAATTGTCAAGGTGTGAGGAGTCCATTGACATTCCAAACACTAAAAACTCATCCTTGTTTGGCTAAGTCATTTCTCTTTCTTTGTGAAACCATGTCATCTAGGACCACGGTTTCTTCTTTTATTTCCTCGTTAGGTTTTTCCGATAGTCATATTGTAGATGCCTCCGGCATGTCGGGGGGGGGGGGGGGGGATTAGTCTTTGCTTGGCCACGTCTGGCCTCCGTGTCTGTCATTGGGTCCACCACCTTTTATGTTGATATCTCTATTATTAATAATATCTCCTCTTGCTATGGTGAGTGTCATCGTTTCGTTCTAATCAGAGTTTATCTCTCGTACGTAATCGCAAAAAGACAAGAACATTTAGAGGAATTACGGAGATTCTCTTCCCGTTTGTCAGATCCATTTCTGATCATAGGGGATCTTAATTGTTCCCTATTTCCCTAGGAGAAATTAGGAGGAGCTACTTGACGAATGGACAAGGAACGCCCTTTGTGGGATTTTTACATCATACTGGCCTCTTTGAGACCCCATTCCAAGGGCCAAAATTTACATGGACAAATCGTGGCAGAAATGTTATTACAATTGAACAACGAATTGATAGAGCGTTTGTCTTTTCATCCTGGATGAGTTATTGGCCCAACTCTTTTCTTTACCATCTTTCCGATAAGGGTTCAGATCACCGATTATTGCTATTTACTACTTGTGTCATGGCTCCTCGAACGAAAAGACTATTCAGATTTGATATCCGGTGAACAACTATGCCGGAAGCAGGGCTTATGACAAACTATGTTTGGGGACTACAAATTGTTGGATATCTTCAATTTTGCTTATTTTCTCTACTGTTGCGAGTGAGACATACCTTAGTCGAATGGTGCAAGGGCGGTCAACCAAATTCTGCAAGGTTGATCAATGACCTTAATCTAGCCCTCGAAAGAGTTAGGAATGACCAAATAGTGGATTGGAATCTGGTTAGGACCTTAGAGGATAATTTGTCCACTCAATACAAAAGAGAAGAGCTATATTGGAACACCTCTCAGTGCCATGGAAAAAGACTTCAGCGACAACTACACTTATTTGTGCTCTCAGGTTTGGCGGAACATGATACCCGAATAGGAGTCCTTGGATATAATGGACCTTAAAAACGACACATTTTTTTTTATTACCTTTGTAAGTAATAAGGACAATATCAAATCTTTAACAATAGGACTGGGTGATATTTGATCACTACTTGGGTGTTCATCAATAGTCACAAAACTTTCTGGTTGTTTACTATATCTCTCGTTCATTTGTGACGTGTATTTAGCGGCGGATACAAAACAGGGTAGAGCACTGAGCCACATTTGAAAAAAGGCAAAGAGGGTTGAGTCGTAACGTGAAAAACACTAAAACGAATACCAAAAATTGAAGCATTACAAATGCTATACTAGCTCGAGATCCAGAGGAGGGCTAGGCCGTTCCCCAGGGCGGCCCCTTTGATCTGCCGCTACGTGTTTTCCTTGTGTTTTTTTTTGTAAAATGGTTAAATATTGACATTTTTAAAATAATATTTAAGAATGGGTCAATAAGTTATATTTTGTACCCACACATGTATTACCTGATCTCATTTGTGTTTAGTTCGAAGCAGATATGGATATTGAAATACCCGTCATGACCCATTGTCATCACTAAAAAGGGTAAGAGAAAGCGAGCTAAGAAGAGATATAGTTTATATATATGGGTCACACTCGTGTGCACCTGATACATACTTGCGACAGGATTTCTACACCGTTGATCTAATCTATTGGTGTTTATTTATTCGAATTAAATTATTTAATTTTTACAATTTTTAAATGATTAGTTGGTCCTATTACTTTTTTATGCGTACCCTTTAACCCCTAAACAAACTTTTCAACATATTTTCGAATTATAGTACCAAATTTTATTCTAATCATGTCTCCAATCCATTAAGTTATATTTACTTTCAATTTTAGTTTGGTGATTTATTCCTTTTCCCACTCATGTCAACGCTCAAACCCCCTTTCCAATTGCTGTCTGTAGTGGCTGATGAACCCTCTCCTCTCATCCTGGCTATCAATTGAAGCAATTGGACTTTGCGCTTCCCATCGATGTTTAATCCCTCTATGGATTAAGAGAGTGACCTGTTCGAGGCATGATGGATTGAATCTTGTGCTCGAGATGCGGATGAGGAAGGGATGATCGGAGAAGTGAAAAGTGCAGACTCGAGAGGTAGGGGGAAGTGTGGATCGCCGATTGCAGTGGGGAAGTACGCTGCCGTTGATGGCCAACGGGAAGTGTGAATACCAACAACAACAGCCAGGGCGAACGAACGAGACTGATGGCATAAACTTTGATAGGTATGAATAATGGGGCTTACTTGAAATTGCAGATGTAGAAGTTGTACTAGGTCAAATTTGTCTTTTAAATTTTCTATGGATGTTAATGGGATGTCTGATTTCATTGATAGAAATAACACATTAAGATTCACTGTCTCCCTTTCCCCATGTGCATATTGCAGAAGTTTCTAAACCCTTCATTATTGACTGGGTGATTTCTCAGCATGATCACATTTTGGGATGGATTGGTCGTGCTTTTGACCTTGTGGTGGATGATTTCTAGTGCAAGCCTCAATCAGATTCACCTTGATCACTTAAAGCTTTACTATGCAATTCTTAAACGCACTAAATTAAATATGAACAACCACGGTAGGGTAATTTGTGAAACATGTGAACTTGAAAATAGTTGTTGGGGTATGCAGGACTGGGAACCTTTGTGTTTCCTATTGTTTGTGCAGGAATAGGAACCTTTGTCCCTGGAGAAGAGGCAAGCGACATCAATAGTTGAGTCAGTTAGGTATTACACATCTGCAGGCGCTGCTGTCTATAATTTTTCACAGCCTGGATTCCTATCAGCAAAAACTGTTTAGTCAGTTAGGTATTATGATACACCTGATAGAACAGTCAATTTTCTATAGTATGCTACTTGCCCACTAACTGGACAGGAAAAGGAGTTGAACTCTGCCAATGTTGATTAGACTACTTTCCCTTTGTTTCTTACATAGTTTTAAGTCATAGTTGTGCTGCTCTCATGTTGCATTGGCAGTTCCAAAGAATAATCTATACCACCCCATTCCTCCGTTAACTCGCTATACAGAATCTGTTATGCCAGTGATCAAGAAAAACTTGTCAGAGTGTACTCTTATGTAGGGGTGGAAAACAATCCGGTCCGGTCAAAACCGGACCGGATTAACCCAGTTTTTTCCAACCGTTTTGACAAATAGCCCAACCGAAGACGGGATTGGATGGGTACCCGGTTTCAACCATGACCGGACTGGATGGGATACAGTCCGGTCCGGTTTCAACCAAAAACCGGATAAAACTGCTACCTCCACCAAAACGCAACCGTTTGTATGAAATTTGGAGAAAATGAAAAATAAAAAACCCTATCCCACCTCTCACCAATCACCCATACAGATCCACTTCTCAACCTTCTCGATTCTTCTTCTCCATCTGCCTCCTCGCATCCACTTCTCAACCTTCCCAATTCATTCACTCCTACATGTCGCCGCCAGGGGTGCCACCATCGACAGGGACAGGGGCGCTGCCATCGACATCACCATCTCGCCGCCGTTGATTCTATCTTCCCCTTACATGTCGGGAGTGGCAGGGAAAGATGGTCAGCGGCGTCGCCATCACCGTCTCGCCATCGCCTATCTCCCACCACAGATTCTTCTTTTTCCTCCCCCATGCATGTCGGATTCTTCTTTTTCCTCCCCCTTGCATGTCGGGAGTAGCGGGGTAAAGATGATCGCCGACGTCGCCATCGCCATCGCCATGGTCGTCGCCGTCGCCATCGCCATGGCCATCGTCGTCTCGGAGATCGGAGAGGAGAGAACGAGGAAGAAGTGGAAGCGGCAGAATGAGGGTTTGGGAATCATTCTTCTTAGGGTTGGGGGGATTTGGGCTAGGGAAGTTGGGGGACTTGAGCTGGGGTTATGGGCTTTGGAGATATTGGGCCCTTGTCCGGTTTCCGGTTAAAACCGGGTAAAACTGGACCGGGACCGGGGCAGTTTTTTTCCCTTAGGCTGTGACCAAAGACGGGATTGGGTAAATGTATATCCGGTTTCCGGTCATAACCGGCATGGTTTAAACTGGCCGGTTTTCGGTTTGACCGGAAAACCGGGACCGGATTCCCAGCCCTACTCTTATGGATGACAACTTGGGCTTCAACTTGAATGGATTGACAACTCCAAAGCTCTGTGTGAGGTTAAACACTCTCCAAGTAAGTCCTTCATATGCACATGCTGTATTTTACAAATGTATAATAATGTTTTGTGGTGAAACATCATTCTTTGTGCATAGGTTAGAATGATAGTGATAATTCGTCGTCTTACGAGGCTCAGAGCATGGTTGACTTTTGTGAAAGATTGGTTTTTTAATGAATTTTTAACAACTGGAACCGTTGATGTGAAGAACTCACTCCTTGGAGAAGGCTTGATATCTCTATAATGAACTATTACTGAAAGAACTGTCTTCTGCTTGTCAAGATTTAAAGAGATATTAGAATACATCATTCATCTAATAAAACATTTTCTTTACAGTTTGTACTTCACCACCTACACAACTCTGAATAATGTGATGGCTTAAGTTTTTGCTAGCTTTCAATCAAGTTTTTATTATTATCAATCTTGTATGTATTCTCTCATTCTGCCTTCTTTTTGTGGAACTGACCTCCCTGGTGTCTTTCTTTTCGAATGTCACTTGGCAGGTGCCAGAGTAATCTTTTGGGATCTCAGAGAGAGATTCTTGTTTGGTTTTTACAAATTGGTGATGTTCGATCTTTTCGCTTGGAAAGTTTCCTTCCTCAAATAGATAATGTAAGACTGTCAACTGCAGTGGACCCTCCTCTTTGTTTGTCTTGCTTGCTTCTCTTAGCTGAACTTGCACTATTTTTCAGGTTCTTGATGAGATATGCCGATTGATTGATGATAAACTCAGAGACTCGGTGGTGTTAAGCGTTTGCCGAACATCGTTGGTAGGTCTTCAAATTCTCTTTTGTACTTTGAATTCGCAAACCTTCCAGATAGCTTGTATATAATTTGTACACATTATCTTGCTACAGGAGGGATATGTTTGGGTGTTGCTTAACTGAGGCCCCTCTCGTGCATTTTGTGATTCAGATGTTGTTATGATGGAAGAAGACTTCGATATCTTGAAGGTCTATCATTTCCTCTATCTCTCTCTGTCTGTCTGTCTCTCTCTCTCTCCAATGCATATGTGTAATTACGTCTGTGTGCGGTTCATCAATAGTGATGGCCAATTTTTTTTTGTTCAAGAAAGAAACAGTGCTAGGTTGGCTACTGATAAATTCATTTTCATTCTTGAGGAGTTCTTTATAGCCAGTGGAGATGGCCTCCCTCGTTCGGTGGTGGAGCGAGAAGCAATAGAGGAATATGCTTGTTAATAGGCTTGTCATTGGTGGGGATTTAATTTGCACTCCTTGTTAATAGGCTTGCTTTCCTTAGTTGGATCAGTTTAGGTGTCAATAGAGTAATTATTTTCTTGGACGTAAATGGTATTAATAAATTAGGTTTATTTGGCGGTCTATATAAAGGGGCTCCAAGCCTTAGAGTTTACCATGTAAAAAATAACTGCCGCCGTTCTGACTTTAGCAAAGGTAAGGCTTTTCTTCTCTGTTGGCTAGGAGCTAAACTCATTGCAATGGAGAAATCTCGGTACAGTGCAGCAACTAATATAGCTCTTTCTTTTGGTCGTTTGTGTTGTTCCTTCCTAACAACCTTTTTCCTTTCATGTATGTAGGGGTGGGCAACGGGAAACGGGTATTTGGGTATACCCATACCCGTCCCGTTTTTTAAGGGTTACGGGTACCCATATTACCCGTAATATTATGAACGGATGGGACTTGGGATTGTACATTCCTAATATGGGTACCCGTTTTACCCATTTGCGAACTCTAATCCATAGAAAGGGAATGTCCACTTCGCCACAAAGATGAAACTTTTCTTAGTAAAGAAACAAATAACGCTATGTGAACATAATACTTGTAGACTCCCTTTTGTTAAATGAAACTTCTTATTTGATAATTTGGTGCTTAGAATGATTTATTTCTATGCGTTGTGATTGTTCATGATTTGTGTTGAATGAAACTTCTTATTTGATAATTTGGTGCTTAGAATGATTTTTTCTATGCGTTGTGATTGTTCATGATTTGTGTCTTGTGATTGTTAAGCAAGTACAAATTAAGTTTAAACTTTTGTTAAAATTTGAGTGGTTTAAACTTTGGGTATTTATGGGTAGTATGGGTACCCGTTATCCGTCCCGTACGGGTAATGGGTACCCGTTTCCCATATGGGTTTGGGATATGGGATGGACTTTGGCCTCCAAATGGGACTGGGTACCTGTTTAAAACGGGACGGGTATCCCGTCCCGTCCCGTTGCCCACCCCTACATGTATGCGCTGTCTTTATTCGCCCCTTAAGCCGCTTTGATTTTTGTTTGTTTATGACTTGATGCTCCTTTAATTCCCTAAAATTATGTAAGTCCTTAGTTATTTATTGTTTAACGTGGGCAAAATTTGTTTTTTAGCATGTCGAGCCATGATACTAAGGAAGTTGTTGGATCCATATCGACTACCTTTCAAGCCATGGAGACGACGTTCACTGAGTTGTACGATAAGATTAAATCTTTGACTGCAATGATAATGAAAACTGATACTCAATTTCAAGTGCTAAAGAGGATGTCGAAACGCATTGTTGATCAAGCATATGAAAGTTCACCTCCCACTGATGTTCCTGTCACGCCTAGGGTAAAAAGAGTTATTTGTATAAATCATACCCATACTCAGATCACGATGGCGATGGTTCACACTAGAGGCAAAAATATGCGGCCATGGAAGATGTAAATGAGTCGGTGAAGGTATATAAAATTTATTTAAACAATTTGCACTTGTGTGATTTTAAAATGTTTACGATGTACCTATGTATTGTATTTTTTGTTAAATTCAAATTGTAGGTGAAATTTCCAGTGACTTCATCTGGAAGTTCAGTTCCACTAATGTTCGTGTCACCCCTAGCGAAAAAGGAGTTATTTATTTAGAATCAGACTCAGACGCAAATGGCGATGGTTCACATAAGAGGCCAAAAAATGCGGTCGTGGAATATATAAATGTGTCGAGGAAGGTATATAGAATTTATTTTAAGAAATTACACCTGTGTGATTTTAAAATTTTTATGATGTACCTATGTATTGTAAGTTTTGGTAAATTCAAATCGTAGGTGGAATATCTGGTGACTGCAATAATGGCGTTCATTCTTTCAATTTTAGATTTTGGGTTTTGCTTATTTTAGATTTTGACTGTTGTAGCTTGTCAATTAGCTGTTGGTGTTAGGGCTTGGGGGAAAAAGGGACCTTGGTACCTTCCATCCAATTTTGAGGTAAGCAACAATTATGGAAAGCTCTTTACAGTAAGTTTACTTTTTTCTCTCCCAAAGTTTACTTTTTTCACTACCCAGGATTCGGTTGTGAAAATGGGTTGGACTCCAAAAAAGCCGTTGAAATTTATAAGAACCTATATCTTGGCGGTACCTTTGAATGCACCAAGGTACGGTGTAAAAATATTAGTAAATTTTCCAGAGTTCCCTATTCTTTTAATGTTTTGCCCTTTAGTGTATAGTCCATTCATTCTTTCGTCATCATTTACTTGTGAGTTATATTTCAGATATATTTGCCAATGAACGATGCGAATCGCCATTGGTTTCTTATTGTGGTTTCCATGGACCGAAAGGAAGTGCATATAGTGGACTCTTTGCCTAATGATTTGGGTGTGCTGGAAAATCGTAGGAAAATGGTGCAAGGAACGGTGAGTGATCAAACTATTCCCTTCGTATAAATCTAGTAACTCAATTTTCTTTTTTTAAAATTTTGTACTGTAATAGTTACGTGATTAAGTTTGTTGTTAGAGTTGAAATTCTTTTACAAGATGCTTCAAGAATTTCCAGACAAGCCATCAACCTATGAAGTGCCCAAATTGCATATGTTCAAAATCATAAGTCCTCCATACGTTTCTAAGCAAATTTATGAGTTAGTATTTCTTTGAGTATTTTGATTATTTCATTTCGATTCGCAATCTTATTTTCAATAATAAATGCTATTTTTCCACGTAGCTATGAGTGCGGGTTTTACGTTTGTCAGTGGATGTTGCACGGAGAGGCTGATAATAATTCGTATATGGCGGTATAATACAATCCTTTCCTTCTAAATATGATTCCATCCACGTGAGATTCTACACTATCAAATCGAAATCAACATATTAAGAGTAATATTCTAAATTTGGTGCAGGTTTGTAGTAATAGAGGTTGACTATCCTTGGCCATACGTTTAGTCAAAGACCTCTCAAATACAAGGCGCTCTGAAATTATTGCTGAAGCAAGGGACGTTTATGAAAGACATTTCAAGGGGGAAATCAACTCAAAATGCCAAAGGAGTTTATTTCATTCATTTTAGAAAAGTAGTTGCTTTTGTTTTATTGGTAGTCGGTTGGTTTTATACTTTTATTTGTAGTCGGTCGGTTTTACTATCACTTTGATCTAACTGAATTCATTTTATATGGTTTTGGTGTTTACCTTTATTTTTTCTAAAATACGAATGCTGGTATTCGTTTTCTTATTGTTGCTTGTGATCACTTCAATAGTCTAGTCTGGTCTAAGAAGAGAATTCGTATTTTGTTAAACATGTCTAATTCTAAATTTTGCGGCTCAATTCTTATACATACGAATCTTACATAATTACACAACTAGTGGTCTTAACGGATTGAAAATGAATGTACTATCAAACAATGTAATAAGCATTGTCATAGAACCACCGTTTATAAGTTTATATGATCATCAAATGTCATGGCATGAGGACTGGTTTTAGTTATAAAACCGGGTTACTAAGTTTTTCAATATTGCTCGATTAAGTGAGCTGGACTTGCGCAGAAAACAGAAGCCCAAGTTCAAACTAAGAAGAGGCCCAACTGGGAAGGCTACCAAGTTAGCTTGATATGATATGGCAGCCTGAATTTTGCGCCAGGTAAACCTACAACAGACAACAATGCCTTCCTTCTGAACTTGATTTCCAACTGATACATTGAATCAATGCAGCAAAGCACAAATCCAGAAACTCGAGACAAATACATATAACAAAAGAGATACATGTCTATGTCAAAGAATGAAAGATGAAAACAAACAGAGACTAACCATTGGAATTCACGAATAGCCTAAACAATCCCCGAATTGGAATTCAAGGCATAAAAGGCAAAGGAACAAAGGTTCCCTCACAAAATCAAGTTCTAACAAGAATACAACTCCCGTTGCATAATGCTTTCTGAACAAGTAAGACCACGAGACAAGCAGGCAATTCAAACAATTCAAGGGTATTGTTTTGGTTATCAAAGAAAATCGTAAGGGAAACGAAACGAAACTAGAGTACTAGCAGGAGAACTAATCAACCAAAAAATTCATAAACGTTTGCAGGAACCAATATCCAGAATGTACTACTGTAGAAGAAGTGAACCACTATCTCCCTATGAATCTTCTAGTTCTGGATTACGCTCTTTTGGCTTTCTTCCTTGTACCTACGAGTCTGGGAAACAAATCTCGATGCATTCCTATTTGCTTCCTCGATGACGACATGTCTTATGTGATTTGTAGGTTGTTGGACCAGATACAAAGCTAGTTGCATTCTCCTCATATCTTTGCATGGCTGCAACAGTTTGACAATGACAATGATGCTTAGTAGCTGTTTCAAAAGATTGTTTTACTTCAATGCCAAGTAGGAGAATTCTTGCTTACCCATATATTATAAGAAGCACCCCAAGACGCACCCATCATCCATGAGCACACCCAAACCCCACTATCAGACCTACATAAAATAAGACGCAGCATATGAGTTGTGGGTATCTAAGTATGTTTCTAATTTATTCACCAAGAATGATTCTTACTCGTGACGTTGTTTGGGAATTGAAGGAATTGCCAAAGAAAATTGTTCCAGCACAGGTGGATCAAGTGTTGGTTCCACTTGCCGATAAAGATCCTCGAACAAGGCATCAAGAAATTCAATCTACATAAGCAGTAATCACTTTATTCGAAATAGATGAAAACACAAATCAATTTTAGAAATATAAGTGTATTCAGACCAGGAGGTCAAATGACTCGCTCCTACCGTCACTCTAGAAAATGGCCAAGTGTAACCACCTCCTAAAGCGTAGTATAGCGGGTTTGGGTTTTAATGTCAACCCGGGTCCTAAGTGTGATGACTACTCCGTGAGTTCTTATTATTTAGCAGTGAAAGTGTAGTGAAGGTCCAAACAAGCAAACAAGCAAAGCAGTTAAAGGTTGTTTTCAAGTTGAGAGAGGTCACCCGGATATGGTTCCCCCTAGACTGTAGTTAAGCCGGATTGTAATTTACCAAGTTCAATTTCAATGATAGTTATACTGCGGGAGGTTCTTAAACAGCCTGCAGTCTCGACTAAAGGTCTCCAGACCCTCTCAATCTGAGTCCCCAGCGGGCGACTAACCTCCACCGGAGTAAACAGATTGAGGCCCTAACGAACCAAACCTCCACTACCGAAGTAAATCCGGTACAGAATAGTGAATTGACTCCTCGACTAAAGTCGTCAATTCACTACCTTCAATCAAGGGTGCTCTATCAACCTACGCAGATATTCTCTTTCTAGGTTAAAGCAGAAACAACAGGAATTTGATCAGGATTCATGCCATTCAACAAATCAGACCTCAATTGAATATAATCATATCACTGAATTCGTACTTGGGTTCATACAATCAAACCTAACATACAAATCTAGGGTTCTTCATACCCAGGTGCAAGAGACAGTTACTCCACAGAGAGAGATGGGAAATCTAGCTCAGATGAGGAAACCATATTGTGAAGGATGAGATTATGCTTCTGGCAATCAATCAGCACTTCTCCGAGCTCAAGCCGGGCTCCAATGGTGATGGAGATCGATCTAAGGCACTTGAAGAATGAGGTTCGTCACTTTCTCTCTCTAGATATACGCTTTGTCTCTCCAAAACTCGGAACCCTTCAACTCTGCCCTTCTTTTCCCTTAAGAAGCTGTAAATCGTGATCCCCGGTCAGGTATTTTAGGTCGAGACCGGGGATTCTTGAAACGCACCGTCGCAGACAGCGGATTAATCCCCGCTCAAGGTCAAGAATACCCGACCAGGGATTTTTCCTTAATGCCCGGGCCCCCTTCTGCTTCTCAAACGCCCAAAAGAGGTTTTCCCCGGTCTGCTCCGATTAATACCCGACCGGGTATTTCTGCTCATTGCCGGGTATTTTGCTCCTCCAGCACACTTCAACTCAAACGTGCTCCTTTCGACCCGAAACGCGTTTCTTCGCCTCGATGCCAACGCCAGGCCCTGAAATATGACATAAACACACAACCTAGCATGAACTCGGCTTCAAACACGAGAATCAACATCTCAAACGACTCAAGAACAGGGGTAAAAACAAGTGCAATCAATGGTCTATCAAATTCCCCCACACTTAACCGTTTTCTTGTCCCCAAGCAAACGTAACTCAAACCAATGCAACTCTCCAGACCTCTATAGCAACAAACAACCCTGATCGTCGGTAGAGGATTTTCTAGATCATATAGCAGCTTACGAGGTCAACTGGTCTTCTAAGACGTCCCCTATCTCTCTCGATGCGAGTACTAGACTCAAGCCAGGATCATGAGAAGAAGTGGAAGTAAGACAACCAGTTCATGGATAACCAAGGGACTCACACCATGCATAACCAAGGACTCATTGTACCGGGGTGCTCTTTCACTTCATTTCACCGTTGGAACCCCTTTTTGCACTTTCATTTTACTTTTTTTTTCATTCACTTAGCGGGAGTTCCAACTGTAGTCTTTTGCACGGTCGACCCTTATTAGTCGAGCAAGAGCAATTTCTGTACATCTGGCGCTTTCCAGAGTACTTCTTTTAACTCTTTTTCCTCAACTCGTGTGGAGGGTCAATGAAATTAAGGGGGGTCGGAAGCTCTATCCGTGCCCTTAAAAACACATCCTCAAGTAGGCAAACCGTTCAACGGGTGAAAATTTTACTTGTACTAGAGACAGCTTAGCTTCACCTTGTAGGAGTACCCCACTAAGGATCACTAAAATCTCTTCCAAAACCCGATTTTGTGCAATGAACGGTGCCACACACATTGGGCTTACCCCAGGTTTAAGATTTCAATGATTTCGACATGGAGGACCAACTGCTTTCCATTTTCCACATGAGCACCCTGTTTGATACACGAGTCCATAACACAATCCAAACAGAGTCACCATTACCACATGAATTCAACGATCTTAGCTCCACTAATTCACAAAATCAACTGGCACAACAGAGAGCTAGATGGGAAAAATCTTATACTTCAACATCCTCCATAGTGCTACACTACCTCCCTAGGTTGCACATTACTATAGAGACTGTCAATTCAATACTGAGCAGGCAATTTGCAAGAAAACACGTACTTGGAGCCCTCAAATCGAAATTTGGACAGTGGACTAGGCTCCAAGCACACAAACAGATCTAATGCAGTCAAAAGAGAAACATCCCCCCCCCCCCCCCCCCCACACTTAAGTTCGACATTGCCCTCAATGGAGAAGAGGGAAGGATAAGGGGAACAAAGTTACCGGTGTGCACGGACTGCATGAGACTGGAAGGGGACCAGTCTGAGTGAAGAGGACTGGAAATGGGACCAGTCGGTGCAAAGGCACAGCTAAAGGGAACAGAATAACTCAAACACAATACGTTAGGTCCAATGGTCAGCCCAATAGTACATCATTCAAGATAAAAATAAGGAAAATAAACCGATACACAAGACAGTTTGCACTCTGAGAGAAAAAACAACACAAGACGGGGCCACGAGTACAACCTACTCGAGCCCGGTGAAGTCGATCTGGTCCATGAGGTCGTCGACCCCATCTGCTGGTGGTGGTGGGTGTGGTGAGTGGTCCCTACAGGTGGTCCAGTGGTGCTCCTCTGGCGGGTGACAGGACTGGAGCAGGTGCTCCTGGTACTCCATCATCCGGCAGCCACGATCCCGCTCCCGCTCGATGAGAGCACCAGTGACTCCCATCTGAGCCTCCATCCGGTCGAGGCGCTCGTCCACAACTGTCATCCTGGACTGGTACTCGGCCTGGTGAGCCAAATGCTACTGGTAGAACTGGACCTGATGGTCCATGAGCTGCTGGTTCTGAAGTCCGAGCTGCTGGAACTGGAGCCCCATCTGCTGGAACTGCTCCGTGAAGAAGTCCATCGACGGGCCAGAAGCCATCGACGGACGAGAAGGACCGGAGGAGGAATCACCTCTCTCGGGTCTCCGTCATGGCTGAAGGTCCCCTGGTGGAGAGAGCGGGGGCTCCGGCTCATCAGCATCCATGGCCCTGCCATCATCATCATCATCATCATCATCCTCTTCCTCGTCGGAGTAGTCGTCGTCCTCCTCATCCTCATCGAGATCTGCATCCTCCTCAGGGGGCAAGGAGAGCCCATCCACCCAGGAGCGGGTGCCATCAGTGGCCAGGAGGAGTGCATTGTGAAGCACGTCCTGGCTGAGGGGGGGGGGGGGGTGGAGCCGCCCCAAGCTGAGGAATCCGTGAGTTCCTCGAAGTCAATGTCGAAATGGCGCGCCAAGCGGGTGATCAGGGGACCACATAAGAGATGGTTGGGTTTCCCGTGGCACTGAGAGAAGGTGGTAGCCACGAAAGAACCCAAGTGCAGCATGTGCTCCGGGTACCCCATCGAATACATGGCGTAGAGTACCCGCTTCGGGATCTTGTGCGACCCAGTGACATTGGGGACGATGGAGCGAAAGTAGGAGATTGAGGATGTGCCACTGCGGCTTGAGGGCGTACGGATGCCTGACCGGCGTCGAAGTAGTCGAGCCCATAGGCGCGTCGAGCTATCCGGCGATAGAACCCGTCCGTTGGGTTCGGGATCTCTACCTCGTGGTGAGAGAAGGGGTGGTACTGGATCCCCACGGCGTAGGCCAGCCCGTCAATGGTCAGCTCTCGTGGCCGGCCACCCAGCCTGAAGGTGACTGCGAGGGAGTCCCGGGCCGCCTTGGGGCGGTAGTGGTAGGTGGTGTAGAACTCCCACACCAGCTCTGTGTAGGTGGGCTCCTTGATGGTCAGCAGCGTCCGCCAATCACGGTGGCTGATGGCGGTGGAGATCTCGTTCAAGCAGTGGAGCTGCTCGAAGACTCCCCACTCCAGATGGTGGTCGGCGTAATCCGGGTGCAGGCGCAGGTCCTGCACGAACGGATGGTCGAGTGACATGATCCTGCAAAATCAACAAACCAAAGGTGGAGCCAAGAAAAACTCGTCAGGACTAACAGTATGGGTTCATCACTTCCCCCACACTTAAGGACCACCTAGGCTAACAGTTTAAGCATAA